GCAAACTAGCAAGGATGCATTCTGAATAGCTAATCCCTGCTGCTCTACATTTTGCATGTCAAGGGAGAAAAATAAGTCTTCCTGTATCCAGACAAAAAGACTCGAACATCCCTTGAAATGTCTGGATTTATAAAAGCGGTAACTACTGGTGAGTAACAGAAAGTCACTTCCATAGCACTGTAGTACTCTCCCTTCTCAGTCTCTGATCACTACAAAGCTGGGACACTGTACATGAGCAAGTACCTCTCTACACTTGTCCTGATCTAACACTGCTCCCTGCTAACTTCTGCTATTGCCATCTATTGGAGACATGGCGAGAGGCTTGACAAACCTTTTAACTGGCTCATTAAGGTTGTCATTCTCCTCACTCTATCTGCACATCAGAAGCTTGAATTAGCAAGTTAGAGAAGGACATAATAAACACTAAACGTGCAAACTATCCCACCCACTCTGTGCTAGACATCCTCAAGCACCTGTCAAACCCAAACAAGGATTCCCATTACATTATAACTGAAAAATTAAGTGTGTACTATTCTGTCTGATACCTCCACAAAGATGAACATTAGTTTCAGTTGTGCTATTTTATATTTTCAATCACATAGTTTTTCACAGGAGCTCAAATCTTTAAAGGTGCAATTTGGCAATCCAGGCTAGGGATTAGATATGCTATGGAAAGACTACATTTAGCAAACTGGGCAAGTTTGCTCTGTACATGCAGGCATAAAGAATTAAAGAGGGGGAAAGCCAGTTTCTTTTGGTTCTCCACACTTTATTCTAAAGACAGCCATCTTTGGACTATTTAACTGCCTTTACTAAGCTCTTGTTTGAATTATCATCTCTTTACTAAACTATTGTTTGAATTATCATCGTTTCATTGGAAACTTCAGGTCAACTTAGTACCAGGCTTGAATTCTACCTGCAAAGACCAAATTATTGAGTCCTCCCAGGAGCTCACAATGAGGAAGGCTTTCCACACCACATCTGTGCCTAACATAAAGTACACACTGAAATCCCAGACAAGTTAATGTAAATAAAGCTGGATGGACACTCAAGATGAAGTCAGCTTGCCATGTGTTTGTTTTTTCCTCCTCACAGAGTTCAGGGTAACACAAAAGGGGTAAAAAAATCAAATGCAGCCACTTTAAATTCAGATTTTGGATACTGAGTGGATGGTGGCAACATAAGAAATAAAAGTTTTTAACCAACCCGATAATAAGCCCTTTAGCTTGCTCATAAATTAAACCAAATTCAGCATAGATTGCATTTCAAAGTATTATACTCCCAGCTCTCACAGACCTGCCATAATTTTAAAATGCCCACTTGCCTTATGTCATTTCGAAAATCTGACTCTTCAAGGTTCAAAATGTCTTTGTGAGTTAACAGATTCCTCCCAAATGAGGCACTGGTCCCAGACAGTCATTTATCAGTGTCTAAATGGAAACTTATTTCAGCTTCATTTTGCCGTCCTAACGAAACAGGTTTTTCCTCCCTGCCTGTTGGAGAAAAGTGAGGTACTTTGAACCAACAGTTAGTCCCTTTTTGCTCTTCTGGCTTTTAAATTATAGCTCTGGAAAGCAAATGTATCAATTAACACAAACTGAGAAAAAAGTTAAATGAGGAGGTGTTACCAGAGACAACATTGCTGCCTGCTTTTAAGGAGGCACATTCAGAAGCGTACGGCTTTACCACCCTCCACAGCCACAAGTCATTCAGATACTATTAGCAAATATCTTATCGAAATTAGGCCACCTGTGTGGGCTTTGGATAAATCCCATTCACCAACCTTTTACTGACTGAATAAGAACTATCATCCCAGAAGTAATGAATCTGATGAAACCTCAGGCCTACAGGCCTTATTGTGTCTTTCTTTAAACTAGAGAAAAAGACTCCACACAGAAACACTCCTTTAATTTGAACTGCCTTCCCTCAGCAGCATCCCTGACAGCACAATTTTTACTAACTGTAATAAAATACACAGCACACATATTCCCATAAGCCTATACAAAATAAAATCAGGGTCTCCCTGTATCTCTCCAGAAAAATAGAAAAGCTTTACCCAGGAGAAGTTTTAAACCCACCTCTTTGCTAGACAGGTGGGGAGTCACTGCCACTTTGCCATTAGTCGATGAAGATCAGAAAAGGAGAGGGAATTAGCAAAATAAATCCATTCATCAAGGTGAAAGTTGATACTTTTTTTGGTTCAGATTTTAGAAGCTTTCCAAACATACCATTCCCCCTTCTCTGCTAACTTTACCTTTCTTCACAAACACAGTATAAATTAAGTCACTTATTTCTCATTTAGAAGTCATAGGGGATTTGTTTATTTGTGATTTTTGCATGGTGATGCAGTACCATCTCTTCTGCAAGAAGGGATTTGGACAAGGGTGGGCAAACAGAATGAGTGAATATCCCTCTGCGCGTCAATTTTGGACACCCAAAGAGTGTGAACTGCACCCACGCATGGAGGGCATCTGTCCATCAGCACCTCTATCACCAGCACTGGAACTCTCTCAGGCAAAACAAATAGTAATGCTGCACTCATAGAATCATGGAATCATAGGGTTTGGAAGGGACTCTGAAGATTGAGTCCAATCCCCCTGCTGCAGCAGGAACACCTAGAGCACATCACACAGGAAAGCGTCCAGATGGATCTTGAAAGTCTCCGAGGAGATTCCACAACCTCCCTGGGCAGCCTGTTCCAGTGCTCTGTCACTCTCACAGCAAAGAAATTCTTCCTCATGTTGAGGTGGAACTTTCTGTGTTGTAACTTGGTGCCATTTCCCCTCATTCTATCACAGGGCATCACTGAAAAGAGACTGGCCCATTCTTGACATCCACCCTTCGGATATTTATAGACATTAATAAGGTCCCCTCTTAGTTTCTCTTCTCAAGACTAAACAGCCCCAGGTCTCTTGGCCTTTCCTCATATGACAGATTTCCAGTTGCTTAATCATCCTTGTAGCTCTCTGTTGAACTCTTTCCAGCACGTCCCTAACCGTCTTGAACTGAGGAGCCCAGAACCGGACACAATACACCAGATGTGGTCTTACAAGGTCAGAGTGCAGGGGAAGAACCTCCCTTGATCTCCTGGCCACACTGTTCTTAATACATCCCAAGATACTATTGGCTTTCTTGATCACACTGCTGTCCCATGGATAACTTGTTGTCTACCAGGACTCCAAGGTCCTTCTCCATGGGGCTGCTTTCTAGCAGGTCAACCCCTAATCTATACTGGTGCACGGTGTTTTGTCTCCTCAGGGTGCAGAATTCTACACTTATCCTTGTTGAACCTCATTATGTTAATCTTTGCCCAGCTCTCCAGTCTGTCTAGATCTCACTGACGGGATGTACAGATTTCAGGTGTATCAGCCAATCCTCCCAACTTTGTATCATCAGCAAATGTGCTAAGGATACACTCCACCCCTCATCCAGGTCATTGATGAAGTGTTGAAAAAGACCAGGCCCAGTACTGACCCCTGAGGAACACCACTAGTCACAGGTCTCCAACTGGACTCCGCAGTGTTGATCACAACCCTCTGGGCTTTATTGTTTAGCCCATTCTCAATCCATCTCACTGTCCACTCAGTGTTTCGCCATCCACAGCTCTCCCACCAAAAAGCTCTTTGTAATTAGCCACTCTTTTTATACTTGGGAAAGCTAAGGCATGAAGCAAGGATGTGGTTTGCTGATGGTAATGCAGCTGGAAAGCAGCACAGCCAGGAAGGGTGGCCACCACATTCTCACCATGTGCAGCCCAGTGGAAGATACTGTTTACAGCTCAGGCACAGTCAGAGAAATAAAACATGACTAGCAGATGGTAAGAGAGGCACACAACATGCTGTCTGATCACCTAAGCCTGCAAGAAGTTTGATAGAACTGTTTGAGCAGTCAGGCTGGGCTGGAGGCAAGTGACAGTGTGCCCTGATGCCTGCGAACAGCACCAGTTTTACTTCTGAAGCGGTGGCTTAAAACATTGTCTTTCTTAATTACCAAGAGGAGTCCACCTAAAAGATACTATCTGAATTAGAGAAGTGAGTTAGTCACATTCAAGTGTTAGGTTGAACTTTGAAGGGGTATTATAAAAGTTAATGTCGTAGTGGCTCTTACACAATAGATATTGATTGTTCTAGTTTCAGGCCTTCCAGAGAGGACTAACGCTTAGCATTTAATCAGGGGGAAATTATACTTTGTATCTCATTTACAGCTGAGTCATTAGAAGCAGAAAAGTAGACTGGGCATTAGAGGAGATTGAACCAACACTCATGTATCAGACAGCCTAAACTGCCTTTGCTGAATGTGAACAATATTATTCAGCTGTTTTTGAGAAGGATGTAATAGAAACGACTGTGGAAAGGAAGCTAGAAGATTTTTGGGGGTTTTATATTGTTTTTTACTAAAATTCAGTCTTGCAAGTACTATTGCCATCCCATTCCTTGTGAAAAGTAAATCATTTTTTACACCACATACAGTGCTGTAATCTGTGTAAACAGTTGTCAGGGCATTTCTGGAAGGGAGTGATTTTATTCATTTCATAAAACTCTGATCAGAACAATATGTGAGCAACAAAACAACATAAAGGCTCAAGCATCCATTTTAGCTTTTTTTTTCAGCCATTTTGGAGTCTGAAGCTTTGTTTTGGTTTTGCTGTCCACCACCTAAGTATCTCCAAAAAAATTTCAGATGGCCAACATCCACCAGCAACAGATTAGGTGATTAGGTGGGGGCTCTGTCATATAGGGACGAATGAGAGAAAAGTTGTGCAGCTGTGTTGGCACTAACTACCACAAAGATACTGTAAAGACGAAGATGAGGCAGGTCACAGGGACTGACACCTGTCCTGAATTCATAAAACCTATTGTCTAGCCTTGCAGTTTTGTGGCTTTCAAAAGGAATGAGAAACTAATCATGTAACAAATAAAATACGTGCAGATGTTCTGTCCCATGAATACAGAAGCCTACAGGGTTCAGAAATCTCATATTTTAAAAATCTCATAGCTTACTATTGCAGACTGACTCCAAATTGCTGGGTAGGCAGAGGTGGCCGTGGTGGAGGAACCTTAACCACAGGTGGCAGTTCTCCCTTCTGTTTTCTCCGAAGATTTTCATCATGTCTGCAAAAATCAGGAAACTATTGATTTTCTGTGCATCACGGCTGACAAACTGTATGTATGAACAGCTACCAATAGTGTTTATGATGCTGATATCCTGACAATAGTGTATATGCTGCAGGTTTTACAGAACTTTTATTACATTTAGGCATTAGGGTGATATTTTAGTAGTATTTGTGGTAGAATACTTAAGCAAGACATAAAAGAGATCTTTTGCTTCAGCCAATGGAATACAGTAATAAATGTGTCCAAAAAACAGGACCACACTATAATTTAACAGTGTAATTCAGACCTATTTGCTACTCAAAATACAACTCCCCTTTCTTTAGCAACCAATTTATAACCTTAGAGCTGTAAGGTATTTTCTGTTATTCCATATTTACACAAAACATGTGTAAAAAACCACCAGGCATCAATAACAGTCATAATCAAAGCTTCCAGTTACTTTCATTCAGCAGTGACATAAAATCACTTCCTGTCAGTACATCAAAGCATTTCCATGTACAGAGCTGTGTCAAAAAGACTGTTATTGATACTAATACTGGCACTTGACAATTCCAGCCCTATGCATTTCTTTTTCTTCTCCTCTCCCACTCCCTCTTCAATATGCCTTCCTAACACACACACACACACAATATAAAAGTAATGGATCTGCTAACAATAGATGTATCAATAAAGTTTTAAATCAATCAACACTTTGCTGACTGGGAATGCACTTTGCAGAAAGAAGTCACTTAATCTGTTACAACATGCAAACAAAGAGGTAAGGATTACTTTTTGTCCACGAACATCATATGATACTCATAAGCAATAATGACATATGGATTTCACTAACGCTCACACAGAAGCTGTGGCTATACCAAGAAAAGGCTCCACAGCCAAAAAAGAGATGTTCCAAATCTGTAGAAAACCACACTGTTCTCTTCTCTAAAAACCTGACGCACTTCAGCATGCTTTGATGGCAATGCAGCTTTCAGGATTAAATTTAAATAAGTAAATAAGATTTTTAATCACTGAAGAAATAGGATTAGATGCTGCTTGGAGTACAGTGACCAAGATGCACCTCTATCAAAGAAAAGGTGAGACAACATTATTTTAAACTTGCCACCTACCGGATAACTTCTTGAGGGATATTTAGCTGGTCATATTTGAGATGCTCTCTCAAGTCACTTAAATAGTTCAAGTAAGTGATCTTTTTCCCAAACTTATGGCTAAAAAAAAAAAAAGAAAAACAATCACAAAGAAGGACAAAAATCAGCATGGAAGGAACATTTACGAAGGGTTAGTTTCTATTACAAATATGTAAGTGCTGATGCAACTCAAAATTAGACTGTAATTGAAGCAGCAGGAGACATAAGATGTATTTCATTTCGTATGATCAAACATATACAGTGCATGCCTGAGAGTCTGATTTGAATAAAAATAACTTACTTCCCTCTGAATGTTTTGTGATTTGCATAGATATGAAAATCACTGCTTTAAAAACCACTGAAAAACAGCTTTCACACAACATTAGAAAGCTCCCTAGAAGAACTGTTAATTTTGGAGAAAATTATATGTTATATGGCCAACAGAACAACGTTTGTGTTACATAGGTATTCCTCCCTGCCAAAAGACAAAGTAATGGGGCTGTAGACACAAACTACTAAGTAGTAAACAACAGGCAAGATTTTCAAAGCTTGGATAGTATATACCCTTGAAGCGTTGGGCCATCAGCTTTACTTATTTTGAATAAAGGCCACATGCCTTCTAAGAAACATCCTGAACAATAAAGTTCTTCTATGCGTTGAACAAAACACACTCCCAAATTGGAAGCACCAAGTATCACTAGTGAAGTCTTGTGGTCCAGCCAGAACACACAACTTACAGGTTGAGGTGTTCAAACAAGGCTCAGTGACACATTTATATGTGTCGTCTGGAATAATTTAATATTTTTCCACAACAGAAAATATCTGTTCTCCAACGAAGTGTCAAGCAAAATAATAAGTGTGTATGATAAAAGTGCACTGCAACTTACTTTGATAGTAAAACTGGAGAAAAAAATTCTCTCGCATTAATGAATTTATCCCTGGATTGTCAAATACACATACACACACTCCCTCTAGTGGGAGATGGTATTCATGTAAGTCACTTCAACACTTAAGCTTTTAACTGAAACGAGCTAAATTTTGCTAAAAGGCAAATGGTTTTGGGTGACTGACAGACACCAGTTTGCACTTGCACAATTTCAGAGCTCTTCAGTGCTTTTATCCAAAACAGCCTGTGACTGCACCGTCTTACCATGGGCTAGGTCTAATTACCCCAGGGTAATAGAGAACATGTTACAGAATGTTACAGAATACATAATTTGTAATGCATGAATTATTAGGAATTATTGCTGTTCCTTAAAAATTCCATATCACCACCACCTAAATGTATATTATTTTAATAACAGGTGGCTTCTGTTAGCTCAGACATAGAAATGTGTTCTTCTTAGGTTTTCTGCATTTTGGGAAAATATACAGGTCTTAACACATTACCTTCTTGCCCAACACTTTTGGGACTGGAAAGGAGATGAATCAACTTCAGGAGCTGGAAAAATTTCAAGTATTTGCATTTCCTTTATTTCAAATATACATGTGCTAAAATATTTATTACTTTTGTTCTTCGCTCTAGTAATTTTGTCATTTGTCCAGTTCTTAGCAAACACTTTGTTCAAGTAAAAGCACTTAGTCCTTGTACTAACAGATACGAAATGTACTAACAGGCCTCTCAAAAATAAATACATGTTTCTTGATAAGGAAATTTATTTTACAGCTTTAATTTTTATTGTAAGTGTAATCTGAAAATTAGTCCATCAAAGCTAGAAAACAGTCCCAGTGATTCTTCTCTCTGCTTTTTATGAGCTTTGGTGTATAATTGACACTTAAATAAAATCATTATCTGCTAAGATAACATTATTCTAAACTGGGAGGAAAAGGTACTGTGAACAAATTTTAAATTGTACTATTCTAGTAAATCTAGACTAATAATTTTTAATATTCAATGAGAATACAAACTGAAGTACAAGGAGGGTTACAAATATATGCAGGGAAAGGCAAATACTGGAGCCAGTTCTGGTTCCACACTGTGGTTTGGTCACTGGATACATGGAAGAAAGAGCTATAAAAGGAAATCCTTTCTTACTCTGCCTCTTGCTCTTAACCATGCAACACCTGGCTTAACTCCTTAGGCCCAAAGCTGATTTCTCAATGGTCCACAAATCATTACTCTGTAAGAATGCACTAAAGACCATTCTGTGTTCACTTAAACCAGGCTCTTTCCTCTGGCAGTGACTGAGAACAGAAGTACAAAGTGACCCTTCTCCAGGACACATTCCCAACTTCCAACAAGGTACAGCTCTAGGACTGAATCAGAGGTTTACCATATATTTAGAAGCTCTCTTTTCATCAAGGGTTCTGTTGAGAAGGCTTTTCAGCCTAACAGGAACACACAGCACGACAGATCAAAGCTCTACACAGCTGGGCAATAGGGCATCTGCAGATCTGATCTGTTAAGCCCCCTTGTCCCTTTCAACTTACTTCCACAGGAGCTATTCCCAAGGAGTTACCAGCTGCCTATGAGAAAAAGTTGGTTTCACTTGAGTGTTGTAATGTCCATCAGGAGTTTTTCTGGTTTTATTCTGGCCTTTTTTTCTAGAAAGCTCTCTATACCCATCCAATAGCAAATCAACAACAAAACAAAAAAAGTAATCCATCCCCATTTCTGAAGTACCATTCCACCTGTTTCTGTCACACTTTTCTCACCATTGGTCTATGTCCTGGATCTCTGGCATTTACTTTATTGCCAATTAAAACAAAGATCTCCTGTCAGTATTCTTGTATCAAGAACAGCATATTCTGGAATGATACCCATCCAATAGCAAATCAACAACAAAACAAAAAAAGTAATCCATCCCCATTTCTGAAGTACCATTCCACCTGTTTCTGTCACACTTTTCTCACCATTGGTCTATGTCCTGGATCTCTGGCATTTACTTTATTGCCAATTAAAACAAAGATCTCCTGTCAGTATTCTTGTATCAAGAACAGCATATTCTGGAATGAATTTTATCTGTAACTACTTTTTTTTTTTTTTGTATTTGCATGCTTCTTATATGTTCTGATCTGCCTAGAGGTTAAACTTTCCCTTTCCAATTAATTAGCTTTCTTCCAGTCAGAAATTTAATCAATTGCAAGATACCACAATAGACATTTTTAGTTGACTCATTATGGCTTCTCAAAATAAGTTGTTTTCATCCTTCAGCCCTAAGGACATTCATAATATAATCTGTAAAATGTTGGAATTACTTTGAGAGCGGCAGAAGTTCAGGACCAGAAGCTAAGCTCAGCCATCCTAGCACTTAGCAATATCTACCCATTGTTGCTGCTTCCTTGCAGATAGCATCAATTCTTACCATGCAAAGAAAAAAATGCACCAATACAATACATCCATCTTCACCATTATATACTCCATCTCAAATTCTTAAGGGCATTTCAGGGCTTATCCATTAACTCTGAACACACAAGCACTTAAGATCAGACCAAAGGTTAACCATTTATTATCTGCTTTACTGTACCACCTAGTAACTCTGATCGTGCACAGAGCTCTATTGTGTATAGTGCTGTCAAACAGGACAAAAAAAGTCATTCATGGTCAAAATGTTTTAAAATGATACTTACTTTAACATACCAGTAAAACTACTATAAATTGAGACTCCTATTTACTTAGAAAGAAAAGAACTCTGCCCTATTATCCAAGCCCAAGCTTAAACTCACCTTACTTGTTAGACAGTTTAAATGGGTATTGTGCTGTTATCTAACTTAATTTATCTCAAGCCTTTTTAAAAGCAACTTATTATAGAACATGCTTCCCTTAAACTAAGCAGGAAAATGTGCTGAATAAATTGCCAAGTACCTTATGAGAGGTTTAAAGATATTCCACAGAATTTTTATGAAGTTGGTTGGATGTACAACATAGAGCGCCTTAAGGTTTTTCTTATACCTAGGAAAAGAAAATGAAATTGTTAGAAAACTTTTGAATTTCAGACATGGCAGAACTGAATAGCTACAACTGAATGGTAGGTATTATTACAGCAACATTATACAACATTCTTTAGAAACACTTTTAAAAGACCTAATTTAGACAAAACTGAATGTAAAAAGAAAAAAATCCCAAATTTTACAAAATTACCAGTATTGATACAATAGTAGGCCAAGATAACACTATTACATTCCTAACCAATGTCTGCTACTTCATGGATTTCGTACCATGGGGACAGAAGGGAAATTAGGCAAATTGGAAAAAAATTGAGATTGAAGAGTCTATAAAAAATTCTATGATACAAAGAATTACTTTCCTTCATCTCCCTTTATTTTCTGCTTACAGGAGTTTCATGCTGGAGAAAATTTCTAAATTTTCAGATGTAATATCTACATGTAAAGTTTTATTTTTACTACTACTTTTGTCTTGTTTTGATAGCAATTACTAAAGGTGAAACCAACAGCTTGCTTTTTTATATTGGATGGTACACTTTGTATGAAACAAAAATCTACCTCCATTATAGCATTGCTTGATTCTACAATGTCATATCATCATACATAAACAAAAGATTCTAATAGGCTGAAACTGAAATGTAGATCAGGCTGCACAGAAAGACTACACTCTTATTCAACATTATTGCAAAATTAAATTGAGAAATTCATAACAAAACATCCTGCTTTTATATCTGAACTATTGCTTATTACTTCACCAAGTTTGCTTCCCAGCAGAGTGTGCCCCTCCTAAGCATTCACTATTTATTAGAAAACAGTGATAATTGGAAAAAATTATTATGAACTCCTAAGAAAAACCTTATTGCAACTGGTTATGGTAGGAAGGGAGGAAAAGGACCAACTCAACAATTATAACAGTTCTTCCTTTTAAATGGGCACATCAGTCTTTGAACCAAAAAGGCAGTTTTCACAAAGCCAGTATCATACACAAACAACTATCCTTGTGCAGTTGGCACCACTGTGGATAAGAACCCAAAATCAACTATAAGAACTAACAAGCAAAACATCTAAGTTCCTTTACTGAAGTTCCCATTTTAAGTTTGTTTTGTACCTTGAAGCAATGGGCAAAAGCTGCTGCGTCTGTGGAAATGCACATACTTCATGAGCTTCTGCTGTAAACCTATTTTTTTGTAACTATTCCTGTTGAATATTTGCTTTCATGATACTAGCTATTTAGTATTGTCCTTTGTACTCTCCTCTGTCCTCCCCTTCCTTTGACACCACAACACACACAGAAGAAGACAACTCAAAGATGCTATTTTCATTTTTCTCTTGGGCTAGCATAGGTGAACATAGATGTTGGGCTGTGAATATTGCTTTGAGCTTCTCAGCGACAGTATGCTAAGAAGCATGGGTGTGTGGTTTTGCCCAGCTACCCAGGCTTCTCTGTTGCTCTTTGGTTCTCCTGCTTTCTGGGTCAGGGTGGGGAATGTAGAGAAGAAGATTTTTTTGGCATAAATGAGGGTCACATTGCACACTTGCAGACATAGCAAAAGGCAACAAAACAGATATTGACCTTGTAATGTCTCTCCCCTTGCAGCAACTGTAAATTTGGCTTGGGGTTTTCCCAGAAGGAAAATAGGTTGATGCTTTATTTCCAGGAAGGGTCAGTGCATGGCAAAAACCAGTAGTCTGAATCTCTCACCAAAGACAAAATTCTAGAGACTCTTTGCCTTTCTTGTTCCTTACCCAGTCCCAGAAAGAACCTACTGGCAAAACCAGGCTTTTTTATTCTGTTGCTGAGTAGAGATCAATACCTCATGAAGACTGTTAGACTTCAGATGACAGCTTCCTACTGCTCCTCTGGTGACTGCTAGGTACTACCTCATGTTCTTGCTTAGTGGGTTTTAGAGTATCAGGAGGTTATTGGGAGAGATTAAAAAGAGTCTGAGCACTGACACTAGGCAACCAAATGGTGCTGTGCACACCATAACTTCATTTTTCAAAGCAGGGTCATCAGTACTCCTGCCAGTCTAGTCTAGAAACACCCAGTAATCTTTTCCATGGATTTTTTTTTTTTTTTTAGATTTTCTTCTTGTTCCAGCTCCCAAATTGAGAAATCAGACATATATGATCCATCACTTCCAGCCCTCACTCTCAGAAAAGAGCTATCATTCTCCTTTCAGTCATGTTGCCCACTCAAGACTGACTTATAAGCAACTTACAAACAAGTAAAAAACTACCTGAACTTCCAGTTTGATTGGTAGGTGTGCACTTTCAGAGAATAAATACCAGAACTTTAGTTTCCACTATCAAAAAGCTATTTATCTAGGAGCTTTTGCCTCAACTACACCCTAACCAACTAAACCATGAAGTCATAAGCCACAGCCATTGTTACTCCAAAGGTCAGGCATATACAAGTACATCAGTCCCTTAGGGGCTTTCCATATAACAGCCCATAAACACTGGAAAGCCCGTGAGATGTGGACTGTTAAAAACTAATCTTTCCTTTTTTGTATACAACCTAGCCTTGGGATGATCAAAGGTTCAAACACAACTGTGAGATAATATAATGAGGATGACGACCAGTGAGGTGTTACAGGGATCTTGTTAAATAGTGCACAGAAAAGGCAGTGCCCTGGTTTGAATCATGATGAAGCCACTTTTCCTTTTACTGTTTGTTTTTTTTTCCTTCAGTAATCTCTCTGTTAACTAGCAGCAAGTGTTCCAGCTAGTGAACTGATAACACTGGAATGCTTATGTTACTGCCAAGACTCCAAGTTGCTTCTTCGCTCTGCCACCACAGAAGTTACCGAGGCAGAAGAATCATATCTGTAACTAGATGGACAGCAAAACTGGCCATTCCATATATCTATATAAGCTCAGAGGAAGGTCAGAGATCACAGAAGACAACTTCCTTCCTGCTTCCTCTTCTCTTCTGTCCATGGCCAGCATCCAGGGAGGACTCCATCTACCCATCACTGTTGATCCCTAGGCCCATGTGTTCCTGACTCTCATCACTCTCCCCTCAGCTGCTGCCTGCACTGCTCCTCTCTCCAGCAGAGAAGTCTTGGACATTTGGAACTGCTCACAGCTCAGGAGATGCCATGGGAGCTGCTGGAGGTGAGGGGGAGGCAACAGGGGTTTTGCACATTCCTGAATACATTTGTACTTGTTTTCTTTTATCCTTAGTGTTTAATTAAAGCTGTCTAGTTAAGTTTTCAATCCAGAGAGTTTCTCTCCTTCATTCTTTCTCTCCTTCCCAAACTAGGTTGGAGAGGGAGGGGATCAAGAACATTATTGTCTCTGGTTTAATTGCTGATCCTGAGTCAAACCGTGACAAGCAGTGACTCTCTGGCTTGTTCCCAAGGCTTTTTATACCTTTGGATAACTACTGCAGCATCCAGGCCATTCCTTAGGACAAGAGAATCAACAGCACTGATACAACAGTATTTTGCAATGCCAAAATTAATTCAGTGAGCTGTGAGTGGATGAGGAAGAGATCTACTTGCTTCATTACAGACATTACACAACAGAGAGAAGAAACCAAATTTTTGGAGGCATACTTCCTGTCAAATTCTTTGTAGGCTGTTTGTAACCATTTCAGAGATGGTTTATTCAGACTCTTCAGGCCATAGTGAAAGTAGACAACCATATAATCATTCTCTACATACTGGTCCAGAGTATACTTTAAGTACCTGAGGAGAAAGAGAACAGTTTTAAGACACTTGCTAGTGAGTGAAAATTCATTTTTGCTTCAATGTATTTATCTCACAAGTTCATGTTGCTCCAGTGGTGGTGTTTCCCATAATTCCACATCACTGGCAAAGCCTGAAATTTGAAAGAATGTGCTTAGTTACAAAAACTATGGTGCTCATGAATCACTAAAAGATGAAGACAAGACAGGACTGTGTTTTCCAATAATGTTTTTTGGAGATGCATTTTAACTGACAGAAGCTTTGTAAATTCCTGCCTTTTGCCAAGCAAACAATGGTATTTTGACTTTTCAAATTAATAAAGAATAAAGCTTGGGTTTTCCTCTCAATTTAAAACTTTTAACATACTTTTAAAAAACCCAACATTAGCCCTAATTACTGCCAATTACAACTTGTTACTGTAAACTGTTTTGTTGAATGTATTTGCTTTTTGCCTGCTTGTACTGTGGAGACTCCATTCTTAGATCATTTCCCTTAAAACTAATTTAAAGAACTACTCTACTTATCCCATCTCAAAATAATACTGCATGTTTTATAAGCAGATTTCTGTGTGTTCATTCTTTTATGGTATAGTTTAAGATGCTTTTCTCTTCCCTTTCTCCTGCAGTTGAGAACACTGTATGGCCTATTACACAGCTCAATGATTCAAATAAAGCAATGATGGAGGAGTACAATCTGGCCTCATGTCTTGCTGTGTCAGATTTCAACTTCCTCATGTCATTCTCAATGCTATCTTATTATTATGTGACACAGCCCCAGCTCTTCACCCTAATTTTAGGTAAACCATTTAAAATCAATAAAATAGATAGTTTCATGTGCCATTTACTAGGCTGTGGCTATCTGAAAGTATGAATACTACTCTGATTATTAGTCAAAGTACTTGGAATACTACATACAGCTCTGGAGCCCTCAGCACAGGAAAGACATGGAGCTATTGGAGAGGGTCCAGAGAAGGGCCACAAAGATGATCAAAGGGCTGGAGCACCTCTAAAGCTGAAGACAGGTTGAGAGTTGGGGCTGTTCAGCTTGGAGAAGAGAAGGCTCTGGGGAGACCTTACAGCAGCCTTCCAGTATCTGAAGGGGCTACAGGAAAGCTGGGGAGGGGCTTTTCACTAGAGAGGGTAGTGATAGGACAAGGGGTAATTGTTTTAAACTGAAAGAGGGGAGATTCAGGTTGGACATCAGGAAGAAATTCTTCACCATGAGGGTAGAAAGGTGCTGGAATAGGTTGCCCAGGGAGGTTGTGGAAGCCCCTTCCCTGAAGGTGTTTAAGGCCAGGTTGGATGAGGCTTGTGCAGCCTGGTCTACTGTGAGGTCTCCCTGTTCATAGCAGGGAGGTTGGAACCTGATGATCTTTAAGGTCCCTTCCAACCTTAAACATTCTATGTTTCTGTGACTATCCATCTTCTCATGGAAAAGCCCACAATGTCACTCTTGTAATGTACTCCCACAGTCTCAATTATCTGCTTATTCCATCATCACACTGTAAATCTTAGGCTGCAAATAGCCTGGGACAAGGACTGACACTGCAATTAATGCAATGTTGTTTTAATCTTTGAGGCAAGTATTGGTGGTATTTCAATGGAAGTAGAAGTAGTAACAGTCATTCAAGACTTTTAAAAGAAGAGATTGAAATTATAATTTTTCTATATAGATATTCTTATATACAGAGTGCCTCATATTTTATTTTATAGCATTTAAATTCCCTGGCACATTGCATCCAGAAAGCCTGTAGTTCTAAAAATAAAGAGTTTTGTGGGCAGAAAATAACCAGTATTTTCCTACAGTCAATTACCTGTTCCAGCGCTGGAACAGAATTGCAGGGACATTACAAAAGCTTCTCCAAATCAATTCTTCAGGTGATTTCATCACAAAATACCTACCAATCTGGGCTTACTCTGCAGCTTTTCTTCAGAACTCAACATCTGAGTCAAAGCACTCAAAAGCAGATGATTTGAAAGTTACATTGCTAGCTTCACTTTCAGACACCTGCCTTCAGTTCTCTCTTAGCACACACTTTCCAAGTGAATTTTCTGTGAGCTCAGATATAAGAAAACAAGTAATTGCTTAAGTCCAGAAGAGTCTAAGGGCTGGAAATCCTTATTTCTTCAAGATGCCTCCTCACAGGACTGAGGAAAGGTTCTTAGACCTGACAGTAACGGGGTTTGTCACATTCCTTTCTAGGGCATTTCCACTGCACATAGCTCCTCTAGGTGAGGAGCTGACTGGTGTGGCTCTTCCTCTGGGGCTGTAGTAGAACTCTAAATATGTTTAAAATGCTTAAGAAGGACAGGACTCTCATAGCAAAACTGATCTCCTTGTAGTGACAAACCACAAGGTAGAAACATGTAATGGTACCTTGCTGCAGCAAGTTTATAATAATGTTGTGTTTTTACATATACACCACCTCTTTTACCACAAAAAAAAATAAAAATCAAACATTGGTAAGTGATAAGTGAGATACATGTGAAAATGCTAAGCATAATACACTCTATGTTATGCAGATCTTTCTATAAAATAGGAAAACCACTAAAATGTAACTAATCAACACTCTGAGTGATTTAGGAGATAAAGTACAGCAAATTAAGGCAAACACTGATATTCACAAGAACATACGTACTGAGCACTCAAATACTAGAATTTCTCTTTCATTTTTCTCATTCATTCTCTTTCATCCATTCTTATAATAAATTCCAATTTTTAATACAATCAGAATTTGTTAATGAAATCGAGACAAAAAGTTAATTTCAGTACACAGTGAATCGATTCTTCTAGTCAAGATTCCAGGTAAAGTAACTCGAGGAGCTTCATCCACATCTTACTCACTTAACATTAACAAAGGTAGGTGTTACATATTTTTTTCATTTCAATCTTTGCCTTCTGCAACTCCTGCCTGAAAGCTTGTTCACCTGGACACAAACTTACAGGAGTTCACACATAAAATGCAAAGCACTCCACGCAGGAGATTGAGAGAAACTTACTCCAGCAATCTGGTGTGATTGAGCTGATGGGAGGGGGGCATACGACAGCAACTGAAGGTAATCACCTTCCTTCCAGAATTGTCATCACCTAGTGAACAAAACAGTTAGTAAGGACAACGTTAATTTATGCAATGTGACCTCAGTGATCCAAAGGAATGGCTTGTACATTCCGGTATTTGGGGCTACATCTGTCTCCCATCATTACTCAAAACAGCTCTGTCAAATCGCACGTTGCCCACAGAAAGCAATTTGGCCACCGCTGCAGTAAAATGAAGTAGCTGCTGGGAAAATGACACAGCTAAGCTGAGAAGGTCAGATTCAAAGGTGGTGAGTGGTGCTCAGCTCCTGACAGGGAACACTTAAATCCCTGTAGCATTCAGTCATGGAAGGAAACAGGCATGCTTTCCCCAGTAGTCTTGGAAGTGACCTGTTCTCAAACTCTTCACGGTCTGTTCTGAAATTTGTCAGAATATCGCTCTGTCTCCGAGCACCCTGGGCATCTACTTTGTCACATACCTAAGCCCGAATTTTTTAACCAACATAAGCTTTCTTATTCTTTTCCAGAAGCACTGCTACGTTCAAACCACATTTAAAACACAACAAGCAAGGCATAAAAGTATGCTTTTCATGACCTGAGGATCTCTCAGTGTCCATCCCTTAGCTCCTCTCACAAAGCATATATCGCTGCATTCAAGTTCATTTACTTTTTTTACTCATGACAGCTTCACCCACACTGTCTGCATAAACAAGATTTGTGTCCATGCCACACTCACCCCAAGTTCCACTATCTGGAAAGCCAGGGGCAGAGGTTAACCCATGCTCATACTGAAGGTTACTTGGCTCTGAAGACTGTGAGGTGTTAAGATTTTAACACTTATCTCCATGAAAGATACCAGTTCCTTTTAAATCAATACAGAAACATTCCAGAAAATGTTAAGACTGAATTGATACTTGAGGCAATCTTGGTCTAATTTCCATGTTCAAGCTAACTGATATTTAATACCTGCTTCTATTGCCACTAAAACATCAAAGTTTGGCTTTGATATCTGTAGGAGTACAGTATAGTTAAGAATTGGGGGGTTTTTTTAGATATTATTTTAAATTCTGTTCTTCCCCTTTTAACCCTAATTAAGCAGCTGTAATGAATAAACAAACAAAAAAAATAGAAGTAAAATGGGGGAATTTAAATCAGTAACAGAAGCAGTTCATGAATAAAAACAATCCTATGAGCATTGCTATGAAAACTCAGTAGAACAGCTTCAGACAATTTCTTAACTCATGCTGATTTGTAATAACTGATGTTGGTTCAAATTACATGATCTTGCAAAAAGAACACTTCCCAGTTTTGCAAACACACATTTTCCATGAAAGCCCACCAGTGACAGTAATAGCTTTCCTTCATTCAACACATTACTGACATTACTAAATGACATTAGTGATTAGAGTAAAAGAAAGCAGCTGTTCTTTCTTCATAGGCATCAATACTGTTTTGAGCAACAGAAAATTTTAACATAACACACAAAGTGCTGATCAAACCAGACACAAACTTCCCTTGCACTCCAGCAGAAGGAAGGGTGATGACTGAGCATCCTGGGTAATTCCCATCCCATTTGCTAGAGCATTTGCTTCCCAGACCGACATAGAATCCCATGACCTTGAAGATAGAATTTTTACCCAAAAAATGGTGAAGTGCAGTTTGAAGAATAATGTGGGCAGTGGCAGTAATTTGCACATTTGCACATTCAAAGGAGAGCGTAGTTTCAAGTACGCAGATTTTAAATCAGAACAGAGTGTATTTTAATCCCACAAAACCTTGATTCCCCTACTGCTTGGACTTAACCAAATTAGAACTGAAAGGTGTCTCATTTCCTACAAGGAATAAAACAAAAAGAAGTGCAATACCAGCTTTGCAAGACTGACCGCCTTGACTGCTCGGGCATTCCCACTCCCCTAGCCACCCACCGATGCCTTTTCACAAATCACTGGCTCAGATTCTGCCCTCATGCTCAGCAAAGGTCTGGTAGATTTCTCTTGCCCACACACAAGAGGCCATCTGCCATCGTGCAGATGCATTCCCAGGCAGGCTCAGGATTACCAGCTGTGCTGGCCATGGAGCCACTCCTGAAAGCACAGCACAGTGACACCAGCCTCCTCCGCACTCAGTGAGTAAAGGGGTGTGTAAAGCACACTGTTCACAGTGACATTTATGCACATTAAAGTACATGCTATCTACTGGGCTTTTATTTGTCTGGGTTTCACTGAAATAGACATGAATCATACATACTTCGAATATCAAACTTTGCAGTACAAAAAAACCCAACAATGTTACAGTGAGACATGGGGTAGGGAAAGTGGGAAAGGGAATTGTTCTACTTTTTAATTAAGAATTTAGATGGCACAGCACTTCCTAACTGCTTCTTGCAAATGAAATGTTTTTTTTCTAATGGCACAGCTCATTCCAATTTGAAAATGAGATATTTAGAATGCTGTAATTTTAGTATGACTTTTTAAGAGCTTTTGTTCTGATGACATGAAACGTTACTACTTTATATGTGAAAAGTGAAATATCATTTTTCTCCACTGAAGCTGGTCATTATCACATTACAGTAAAACAGGATCCTAAAGTGCACACAAGTTTTGTCATTTGTTTCAATGGGAGTAGAAGCAGGGTCAAAATCCAGGAAACTTTCACAGCAGTGAAAACACTTGCTCAGGTATTTTCTTCACAGAATGTAAGCTAAAGAAAATTACCCTAAGCCTCAATTACACTACATTACATGGCAAGACAAGCTGTACTTCCAAGTCTCCTCCTATCCTCTTCAACCCAGGGAAATACAGGATTGCAAAAAAAAGCCATAATGAAATTGTTTTGCTTAGACTGAGTAATGGACAGTAAATACACCCACATCTAATCCACTATGGGTCTCTGCCCATCCATAAAGGCAAACTTCTTAGGCAGTTAGGAAGTACACAGCCAAGATAACACAGCTGAGTCTCAGTGTTAGCAGGAGAGATTTGCATCCTCTTTGTCCTGGCACTGATCACCTTGGCCTGATCATACGAAAACACATCACAATGGATATTAGACAGCTTAAAAATGAAGTATTAAAACATCCATTTTAATGTGTATCCTGTGAGACAGAGACAGGATCCACCAAGGAAACAGAGAAAATGTCACTGAGTCTAAATTTCAAGTCAACTCATTTTGATTTTGCAAAGTTCCATTTTTGCATTCATTCCTCCAGATTCCACTCACGTCCACCCATGAAAGGACTGCACCTGTACTGCACCTGGCTAATTCTGAAAAGTGCTAAAATCACAGTTTAAATAATGTACAAGCTCAGGTGTCTTTCTAAAAAGGAATGACTACAAATGAATGTTCAGGAGGATTCCTACATTGGGAACCTTGTTTATTCTCCTCGGAAAGAGAACATTTCCCACCAAAGATTCCTCCACAAACAATTTTTCTTTTAAATTTTGTCTAAGAAAAATACTTTGCCATAGCATTTTTATTTTTTTCCTGATCATTCAAAAACAAAGGGACACCCTGCTGCAATTTGCACACCTGATGCAATTCATTATTTACATTTCACCTGTGGTCCTCTTACAGTGTGTAAACTAAGTTGAAATAAAGGTGAGCTAAAGCCCCTGAAGCAAACCTCTCTAATGTCAGTACGGTTCTATCTGGCTGACTCTCTGGACTAGAACAATGTTCTAGACTTAAAAGGGGCACTGAAAATCAGAACTGCTTTCAGTGATGCAGAAGTAAGGATTTTGATAATTAACAGAAAGTATAAGAGAAAATTTAAGGAAACTGAAGAAACAGCATAATAGACAAACAGAAAGGGAATATAATTTTAATTTACTTGGTAAAGGGGAAACAGTGCTAGGCTTTTCATTTTACTAAGGTATACCTGGGTGTAGAATGATTAAAGTATGTTGGCAGGATGCTCAGACCTAACAATGAGTTCACAGTCATGCTTGATTAGCCACTTTGAGCCATCACTGATTTTAGCAAGCCTGCTGCTCTACTAAATGATGTTTAAAGCAGATCCATTTTATTTTCTCAGATTCAACAAGAAAACATGTCCATATATTTTGATATAATTATCCCAGTTTTGTCATTAAAAAAGACACCACAACTTACAGGCTGATGGCCAAAGCAACAGATGTGGTAAATAAGGATTAACTTCATTTGACATTTTGAGAAGAAGATAGTTGTAGAATGAAGCAAGAGGAAAACTAGAGCAGAAATTGGAAAATCCAAGTCCAATTCCTGCCTAGAGGATTTGAACTAATGTTTCTATCCCTCTGACAAGTTTCCTCTCCACTAGAACAGAAAGTATTTCTTATTTATATCAACCTTTATTTTGGAGTTCCTCTCATACCAATTGAGAAAAAAACATGGGAACATCCAAATGCTTTGTTATGTGCAATGCTCACATAAAAATTCATTCTTGTGCTGCAAACAGGTTATGAACCAGGGCCTGCAGCTTCCTTCTTGAAAAATGCCCAAGTCCTAGGTCTCTCCACATGATTTCTTGTTTTCGCCAAAAGGGTACTCATGAAATAATCAGATATATGGATTTTAGGAATATCCTTTGGAAATAAAAAAAATTAAACCACTAAATTTGCTATGGAAAAAAAATTAAAATCTTTAAACACAGTTCTTTCCTTCAAAACAGAAATAAAAAGAACCAGCACTGCAGCACTGTTCCATTTACATATGCTTAGTCAGCTGTACCTTGGTATTTGTGACATAAATCAGCCTGTAATGAATAAAAAATTATTAAATCTTACATCTTTTTAAAATGTCCTCTATTATTTAATTAATTGTATTTTCACACTGAATGAATACAACTCAAAAAATCTCCTTTGCATATAGTCAAAGCTATTGTTATGGAAAGCAGGTGTAAGTAATTTTAATTTGTGAGATGCAAGAAGGAATTTTAGATTTTTTTAAAAGTAATTGTTGGAAACTAGATCACTGTAAGAGATGGACAAATTACTGCAAATATTTTCATCTAAATTCTTTCCTCTTCTTCAGTCACTTCAAACAATACATCTCATTGTCTTTCAATCATAGAACTAAAACTGAAGAAACAGCTTTCAGAATTGCTTTAAAACAGCCATTCCAAACACTGAAATTATACTTTGTCTCATTCAAAGAAATTAAAACCATTACAAACTAGGTAAAAATAATTTTAAAATTATTTGTTTCAAAAAGGGTTGGCCATTTGCAAGATCTGAGAAGGAGATCTGAAGAGCTCATCCTTGCCTCACTTGAATCTAAATCCAGAAAACATTCAAACCTGACTCCACACCAGTTAACACTAGGGATAGGGAAGTCTCATTTGTGGAGGTGAAGTGTGTCTCGGGAAGGTATTTCACCTTCCCCTGTTCTGCATTCATATGCACCTCTCTGGTTTTCCTCTTACACCCACCACCAGAGCTGCTTTAGAAGGCTCCTGGCTTGTGTTTTGTATTTAAATTGTCCACTACACTTGTAAAACCCCATCATATATTTCTGACTAAAATGGTAGTTCAAGTCATTATTTTCTAAGTTTTAAAATGGCCAGAGGACTTCCTTGCCTACAAAAGACTGCAGTGTTAAGGATAAAACCATCAGAGATAATCCAACATTTCAGCCAAGAATCATCCTGTGAGTACTTCCATTTGCTCTGGTGAATTTAAACCAGGACTATACCTAATGTCTGGACTTCATTCCAAACAAACACTGACACAGAGCAAGTTCCAAGATGAAACTATGGAAACTACAGGAAGGTCTTTTTAAAAACCACTGTAGCCTTCACGCTACTGTACTAAAAGCACATTCCCATTCTCTAACACAGGAATAAGAAATATACATAAGATGAAGCCAGGCAGGACTGTTAGGGAAGTGGAAGTCTGGTTATCATTCTGTCCCCACCACATAGTCTCTGCTTCCCCATCAGTAAAAGCAATTTTTAAAAGGAGTCATTCCAGAATATTTCACCTTCTCATTCAAAGATCTTCCCCTTTTTTGAGTTCCCCCACTATTTTAACTCTTTTGAGTCAAATGACAGAATGCTTCTGAGTCTATGAAAGTTACCGTTTTTGTTTGGCATGGGAGTAAGTAAACTTCTGTTTATTTATTTTTAAAATCAGCAGAGAACATCTTACTAAGTTCTCTTTGGCTGACCCATAAGATTGCCAACTTGTCCCCTTTTGCCCTAGTATGAAAGGATGGAGAAAAGGAGCCTAAGCACTGACTCAGGGGTTTCAGCTCATCACCTGGCAGCTCTCTCCACAGCTGCAAAAAAGACAATGGCTCCTTCAAGGGAAAAAAAAAACACAAGGAACCTTCAGAATTAACACCAACTAAAACAGACAAATGTCAAATGCTTATGAATTCCAGGGCAGTCTTGAGTGAATAAAGAATGAGGAGCAACAATAAACATTTACTAAACAGTTGTGCATGATTAAAGTTGAAACAGTAAATACATGGCCCATCACAATTGATGTTGAGTATACCAGCAGGAGAAAAAAATATCTTGAAGATCTCTTTTAAAATATTATCATGTAGCACTGCCTAATACAGCAGATGGGAGAGGTTAACATGTCTATTTCACACTTTGTCAGTTTGACTTCAATGGTTTCACTAATAACTTTTCTATCTTGGTATTTCCCTTATCCTAAAACCGGTGCTTGAGTGAGAAACATCCTAGTGGGTTTGAATCACAAGAATGTCAATCTGTTATTACCCTCTTTATAGATTTGAGTCTTATGTTGGGGGGTTAGTTTTGAAGAAGGTAAAAGGTAATTATTATCCTGTGTACTACAAGATTCAAGAGGAGAAGTCACTATGGGTAAATTTCTCCTCCCACTATAGTCAGAAGTCAAACTACCATGGATTTCACTGCTCTAGTCTAGGGCATTAGGGGACTGGTTTTGCTGAAGTTCATATTCACCTGGATAACACCCTGTTCATAGCTTAAATTCAGGAAGGTACATACAATCTGAGTTCATAACTTTCCTGAAAAATCATAATCTAGGCTCACTGAAGTATGAAGTACAAAAAGAATGCACAACACAACACAATCTCAGGCTTCATTAGGATGAGCAGTGTTAAGTAGTACTATTTGTTTCTTATAGTATACAGTTCTTTAGTTCAGGATTGTGATTATTAATGCTATTTTAACAAGCATCCTGATGCCAAAAATAAGCCAAAAGAAAAAAAAATATGCTATGCATACTTTAACGAGGTGCTTTTATAAAATAAATAAGCATGCCTGTCTTATACATTGCCAGAATGTTTTAAAAATAAATAACTGTAAACACTACATGTTCCAACATTCAAACATGCTATGTACCCATAGCTTTTCTCCATGTCACAACAGAAAGTCAGGTGATGAATGCAGTTAACATTCACATTAACAGTTGACTTGCTGCCTTTTATTATTTTTTATACAGTAACCCATAACTCCTCATGCCCTTCTCAAGGCAGAGTAGAAAAATTATTACATATGGCTACACAACACTTCAGGTTATTCAGAAAACAATACAGCTTATCAGGACTAAAGTACAGATCTGTTACAGCCACAGTTAGGCCTCAGATCATAATATATTGCTATAGTTGCATTTTAAAGCAAAATCAAGCTCAAAAGTTTGGCTCATAATTCATCCATAGAAAAGCACTGGGTTCACATATTATTATTCAGCTGCTTTTCAGGATGAAGGCTGAAAGCATCAGCATGATTCCTGTGCACCACCTTGAGGAGTACAGTAAGAAAAATGTGGTAAGTGGTCTAGTAAGTGTGAATATGCAGTATTTTTATAAACATACCTGCTAACTGAATGATGCCGTGTCTTGCAACATCATAGTAAGGGTGATTGATATTTAACTCAGGATCCTCAAGTGGAGGAGAGACAAGTGTTTCTTCCTGTTCTGACTGTGTATCTTCTGCTTCATCTTTCTGCAGTTCTAAAGGAGCAAACAAGAATGCTTAAGTGCTAGCAAACAAACAAAAACTTTTGCTTCTAATATATTATCGAAGGGTTGAATTTTAGCTCAGTTGAACAAAGACACAGGCCTTTATTGCCATTTGTTGCAGTTTCAGATCTGTCTATTTTTCTTTATCCTTTGTCATGTGTGGAAAAACAACCCTTTAATACCTCAAAGCTTCCTTTACATTCTCCTTAGTATCTGCTATGATTCTTACAAAAATCTTGACAATGACTGGACAGCTGGCAAGCTGTGACCTTGCTATTCATAACTTCTGGTGTTGTCTCATCATTTCCTACATTCCCACAATCTGCTTGTTGTATCCATCTACAACTTCTTGCCTTTTACTTCAAGGTTGTCCAAATGGAGAAGCCAAAGTTCCAGTATGCTAACATGTTCACTGACAGCTACTCCATATGAACACCCCCTTGTGAACGTTCTCTGAGAGCACACTCATCACTTTGCATAAAGGTAGCAAAGTGCAAACAAGGCTCCATCTCACCTCTCTTAAAATCCAGTTTCCTTGAAATCCTGTAATGTTCTCATCTTGCAATAGGCAAGACAGCTAAATGTCCACCCAATATATTCTCCAACTAGAGGCCAAGCAAAGGTGTAAAAGTCTGCTCAAAAGCTCAGTAAAACCAATGGGCATCCTTCCCCCAACTTCAGTTGATTCTGGACTAGATCCTAGAATTAAAATCTACTCTGCACTGAAAGGGGCAGACTTTAATCAACCTTATTCCAGGAATTTTGGTTTTGTTTTGAGAGGTATTTACCCATGTTTTTTCCAAAGTGTTTTAAGTTTCAAAAAGAGCTATTCCCAAGTCCACATCCAAATGAATATAGATTCTGGGCTAATGACTGTCACTAATGTTTCCACACTATTTAAATGAATGTTTTCTAGAAATAGACAGGAATAACATTAAATTGACCCACTAACGCGAGTGTCTTGGTGATTTAAGAGAAGAAAAGGCACACATTCAGAGAAAAATTAATGTTCTGATAAGGGGCACCACCACCCATACATCACCCCTCTCTTTTTATCATGCAAGTTTTAATAAGGTAGAATTAACAGTTTTATCTATAACATTATTAGGGCTACTTTAAAAAGTACTTCAAGATTATTTTGCCTTCTAATCAATCTGCATATTTCATATGCCTTGACCACTACACAAGACACACTAAGGCAGAGAGAATATATTAAGTATTGATTCCAGCCAGATTTATGTTCCTGTAGCTAGTAAGTGTAAGAGAAAGTTTCTTACTAAATACCTCAGAATGCTTCCCACTCACAGCTTCTCAGTATCTTTCTATCCTATAAACAGCCACAAGAAAGCTTTATTGTCTCATTTTTATTTTTAACGTAATTTGTACCAAAAATGCATTTTGCAAGGATGAAAAATGTCACTGATGGCTGGGCTTCTCAAAGGCAAAGAGGAGACAGGAACACTTACACTACAGTTACATTTCTTTATGTCTGAATTCACATTAAAGCCTCCTCAGAAAAATACATCAGCAGTCCTATAGGGGAAAAAAATATCTGCCTATAGAAATGCACCATTAGAGTCTTCTTTCTACATTCAAAAAAGTTTAAATTCTTATTATTATCTCAAACGTGTACTTTTCTACTGCTTAAAAGTATATCATTAAAAAAGCTACATTAACCTTAACTGGTAAGGCATTCCTTCGCTTGAAATATTATTTTTTTTTTTGTCCCAAGAGCTGGGAAGAACACAAGCATAATGCAGTATATGAATTTCACTGTTCCCTTTTTCCTTATTAAAATGTTTAGGTCATGTTAAAAGTCAGAACAAGGAAAACACTATTTTGTTCATTAGGGTTTTTTTTCATGTCTGAGCACTGTAACCACCTAAAGTAGGAAGAAGTTGCAAGAGGGAGAGAAAAAAAATAAAAAATGCTGGTCTGTGAGGATATAAAGCAGTCACATCTACTGAAAAAGCTAGTTAAAAATTTACAAAGAATTATCTTCCTAGGGTTTATTATTTTTCTTTTCCTATCAGTTGTTTTTAATGAGTGAACAAGAGGACTTGAGCTCAAGAGGTATTTTGTAATAAACACTATTAAAAAAGAAAATTCCTTGCTCCAAACAGAGGGAGATCTCAGCTCCAATTTTTTCTTCTGATGATAGAGGAGTTTGCTGCCCTGCCCCACGAGTTATCACAGAGGATCATCTGTTACCATACACACTGTTATCCCAGTTCAACCCAGGCTAGGAGACAACAGGAGGAGCCTGAACCAGAGCTTGTCAAAGCTGAAGGTAAAACTGCATTCAGTGGATTTTGAATCAGACCCTAGGGTAAAACGACCAGCCCCCAGCTGCTGAAATCATGGCAGAGAAATCAGAGACAAGGTGAAGGACAGGGAGACAGAGGTGGTGGGGGAGGGGGAAAAAGCAAGCTCTGGAAGACTCTTGCTCTGGGGTTCAGCCTGGAATGCTCAAAAACTCAAGGAAAAGAAAAAAATTAACACTGATCTTTCAAAATAATGAGGCTTCTAATGCCATGGTTGTATTACTCAGCTCGACTAACATCTTTGGAGATAACATGCAATACAGCAATTTCTATGCTCATTCAATACTTGTCTGTTTGGAGAAATGAGTCCCATTTGTGCCACAATATGTGATGATGGTGATATTCCAATAGCCTCGAATTGCACTAGGAACATCTACCAATAATTCATAAAAGCTGCATGTATTAAACTAACCTTCAACCCTTAATGGCTTTAATAGGGTACACATCAGTACAGTGGCTGTAACTCATATTGGATTGCTCTAAGAAGTATTACAAAATGTTGGTGAAGTCTCTCACTTACTGAAGGTATTCTGTTCAATCACTTGTAACTCTACACATATGTCACTGGAAGTATAATAAAAAATATTTACCTATTTCAGCTAACTTCTCGTAGTCGATCTCAGACATGTTTCCCCTTAGGAACAGGTCTATGCAGATCTTGTTAAGTGATTGCAGGATGAAATGGTCCTTGCATCAACCCTGGAAAAATATACAAAAATAGCTGTCATCACAATGTGGCATGTTTTACATGCTAGACAGGCATAAAAAGAAAACAACCACCATCACCCCAAAATTCTACTGCCCAATTATTGTTGAGGAATGAGCTCATCTGCATATAGGCACCATTTTCTTAAAGCATAGAGTATTAGAGAAGTATTTGAAAACACTAGACCAAAACCGAAAGGCTGTGTACAATAACAAGACTTTCACCAAATTGATGTGGTTTTACCAGGGGAGGAGGGTGTCTTTTAAAAAATATTTACATACTTACACACTTTTAATGATAAACACCAGAACTGCAGATTCATTCACTTCTGGAAACAACATACACCTTCTTAACTTTGCCTAAATTTTAGTTTTCTGATGAAGACGAGATATACTCCACACACTCACACCAAAATCACTTACTCTCTAGCAGCTTTAAATTTTATTAGAGGAAACATTTTATACCGCACATTTCACATGAAAGAGCTTCATGAAAATTGCAAGTGGGCATTAACATATAAAAAACTGAAAAAACAGCACTTCCTGTGCGTAATCACTGCTTTTTGTCAAGCACTCTGAGGAGTGCTTTGTAAACAGAATACTAAGTAACATACCCAAAGTGAGCATCAGGAGCAAAGAATACAATTTAGAAGATCTGTTCCCCCAGGCAGCTGCTCCAAGCAGCAATAAGAGTGCTTCCCTTAAATTAAAAACTAAGGCTGGGGTCTGGAGGTGAGAAAGAAATTGAGATTCTCATACTCTGCTTTTAATTTAAAATCCCTGTTTTATATCAGACTGGTTTCATTCAAGCATGTTAAATAAAAAACCAGGCACATTTATGGCTTGGTTGTTGAGAAAAGGCATATATAAGCATTTTCTTTCCCTCTGCCAAGAGGTTAGATATTGTATTGCTATTTCAAAGCACTGAAACTGGGAAATTATTTTGGACTAAAACCAAACAAGGACACTCAGTCTTCCTCTTGCTGCTGCCCACCCTGTGCATCCCAAAGCTCACGTAGGCTAAGAAGTTTTATTCCAGACCCACATATTTAAGCTAGATATCACCCTTTTTTTTAATTACTATTTTTAACCAGACAAGGGATATATAAGTAGTTTTCTAGAAATAAAATGCACACCAACAAAACTAATAAACTTCTGCTCAATTATGTTTACCTATTTTGCTGAGAAACGATTAGTCATTAGAGTGACCACAGCTACTAAATGTGTAGTCAGGCTCTCACCAGCTAATGCAAGGTCTATACGTTGGGTTTCAGTTTATACAGGCAAAACAAATTTGCATTCCAGTGTATGACTACAGCTCCCATCATAATATTTAAAAGAACTTCTGATGGCTAATGAAGGTTTTCCATGTATTTTCAAAATCTTTCACAAATCTGATGCTTACAGTAATGGTCATAGCAATAGTAATGATCACCAATGCATTTCCTAACTTGCTGCACTGCAGACAAAACATGAACATGGTTTCACCACTTTGAAGATTTTCAAACACCAACTATTTTATAACAATCTTATTTGTTTCTTGTTGAGAATAATTATCTCAATTTACAGGAAGCTCTCAATTTAAAAACACATACGCAGGGAAAAGTTCCATTAAGTTCAGAGGAGAAAATTATGCAATTTCTCACCAAGCAACAATTTTCTTTGAAAAATGGAAGCAATTCCAGGCCAGATATATTTCAGTTCATGATAATTTTACCACATGGTGTTCAAAAGCATAACTCCATTACTGTTTTAAAATTCTGATTAAAAAAATACTTAGTGATTGAGATTCCAACCAGTAACTTATATGTTTATTATTATTATGAGTGATATTTAGACATTTCTAAAATTAACAATTAGCAATTAGTGCCATAATGTTGTTGTTGTTTTTTTTTAGCAACTAATTTGTGACAGGTATTGTAGATGATTTAGTAATTTATGCAATTTGCTTTTAAGTACTGGTATATTATCTGATCAAGTGTACCTGTATTGGTCAGGAATAAATTGTACCTAAGTATCTACTTCGAATAAACAGCATTTTAAAATGTTTTTGAAGCAAAGAGTAGTTGCAAAACCTTATCTACCTTATCTGAAAAATTTCCTTCCAACTTTTTTCCTAAACAAAATGAATACATCTTGTAGGAATGTAATGATACTGAGAAGTTTTCAAGGGGCTTTAAGCTACAGCTCACACTTCAGACCTCTGAACTCCACCAAGTATTTCAAGCAGGGCTTTCTGCACTTTGCTGAAGCTGAAACTTGACCACAATAAGCTCTTTGTGACTCACTTTTACATTTTTCCATTTAGTTGTCATAGATTACTACCTGGATTCAGCCAAACTTTCAGAACAAAGAAAACCAATATTCAAGAAATCTGATCTTCACAGACTTCATCCCAGTCAAATATTTCCCAAAGCTCTTAAAAGCAAATGAGGCACTATATTCCTTGTAAAGTACCTACTCACACCAGGCTTTTCCATCCTACAGAATTTTAACAGTAAATCACAAAATCCTAACTTACAAAAACTAGGCTATATCTGACACTAGAATGCTTTTCAGATGATGTGAGTAATGAAAGCATCAATGAATTGATTGAATAGAGAAAAAAAGAAGCTATCTCCTTGAGTCCCCTGTCGCAAACTGACAACATCACTAATAGCAGGGGCCATTCTCCACGCCCCTGCTTCAAGAAAGAAAAATTATATATATATGTATGTATAGGAATAAATAATAATAATAAAAATATACACAATCCTGCTGCAGAGCACTGAATGAAAAAACTTTCAGAACAAAGAAAACCAATATTCAAGAAATCTGATCTTCACAGACTTCATCCCAGCCAAATATTTCCCAAAGCTCTTAAAAGCAAATGAGGCACTATATTCCTTGTAAAGTACCTACTCACACCAGGCTTTTCCATCCTACAGAATTTTAACAGTAAATCACAAAATCCTAACTTACAAAAACTAGGCTATATCTGACACTAGAATGCTTTTCAGATGATGTGAGTAATGAAAGCATCAATGAATTGATTGAATAGAGAAAAAAAGAAGCTATCTCCTTGAGTCCCCTGTCGCAAACTGACAACATCACTAATAGCAGGGGCCGTTCTCCACGCCCCTGCTTCAAGAAAGAAAAATTATATATATATATGTATGTATAGGAATAAATACTAATAATAATAATAAAAATATACACAATCCTGCTGCAGAGCACTGAATGAAAACCAATTTCTTCTCCCTACTAATTGCTAATGCTATAATTAGATGTAGTGGCTCGATCTAAAGAGAATAGATTTAAATATCTCCCAAAACCTGCTGAAAAACATCTGACTTTTGAACAGCAAAGTTACTGTACAAGTGAGAGCAACTATGCTAGCGTTAAAACATTTGCAAATGTTAAATGCACCAAGTTACTAGGAAGCTAGAAATAATTCAGATGGAATCAAAGAATGGAAATGGGGAAGAAACCATCTGCCTGGTTTTCAGCTTAGTGTTCCCTTGGGGCAGCAATTAGAAAGTTTCCAGTTACAAGACAAATTTACTGTAGCACCCTCAGAAATTGATTTCCCGTTGACCGCAGCATTCTCTGTTCCTAGGAGATAACATAATCTCCTTAATAGTGTTCTGTGCCACGTCTCACCGTTTGTAGTAAACTGACAGATTTAGTGCCTTCCCCCACCTCACCCCCCAAAAAGGCAGTAAAAAGAAGCCCTGAAAAGAGCCAAACTATAAAGCCTTTCATTAAGAAGAGAAATTTGGAAGTACTTTACAAAACATCACATCCTATATCCCTCCACAGGCAAGGTTATTACTTACTGACATCCCTAAAAGAGCATTACTTTATTGAAAATGAAGGCGGTCACAGCCGCAGAACTGCTGGATAATGAACTCGCATCCACGGATAGTCCAAACAAAGGCAAAGGATTCTTCCCAACATTCGTCAAGGCGTAGATGTCTTGTTCTTTTTGTTCATCCAGCTGTCTGATATGTTCTTCGTCAAATTTAAATAGTGTGGTTTCTCTTACGTGGTGGTTTTTTGGTTTTGTTTTTTTATTGGTTTGTTGTTTTTTTTCTCCAGTGTTCTTGCCTTCCTCTGATATTATTTGTTACTTTTAAAAAGTGTGACACAGCTCACCATGTCACATCAGTCTGCAACTTACACTTTGGTAGGATGAGATGTTTGTGTACACCCAGTATTTGCTGAGGAGTATCTTCTACAAAACCAGGTAAAGTGATTTCAGAAGATTTTGTTATTTATAATACTGCAGTAACTTTGCTATGGAATTTGTAAACATAGCAACATATAAACTGAGTGCATAATGTACTAATGAGAAGTATAGTCAAAGCATCCTGCTTTTCTTCCCATAGGTTGTCTGTTCTAAGTATTAGTTTTCCTCAGTGTATTTCCTACACAAGGTCTACCAAAACCAAAGTCCACATTCTTGATTAGCGTTTGTTGAAGGTATTTGACATAATTTATTTTCATATTCATACTGCAGTCTTCAGTACTTAAAGGGGGCTTATAAGAAAGACAGGAACAGACTTTTTAGTGGGGCCTGTAGCAATAGGAAAAGGGGTAATGATTTTAAACTGGAAGAGGGTAGATTCAGATCAGATTAAGGAAGGTGTTTTTTACAATGAGGATAGTGAAACACTGGACCAGCTTGCTCAGAGAGGTGCCAGAAGCCCCATCCCTGGAAGTGTTCAATGTCAGGTTGGATGGGGCTCTGAGCAACCTGACCAAGTGGAAGATGTCCCTCCTGATTGCAGGTGGGGTGGACTAGATGACCTTCAAAGATCCCTTCCAACCCAAACTACTCTATGATTCTATGATAGTCTTTATTTACCTACCATTATTTCTTGGCAATACATTGGTGAAAAATCAGCTAGACAACGTATGGGAAGTAGACAATAAAACGA